GGATACCTCTTGCCAAATAGAAAACAGAAATGTGAGCTGTTCCCAAGCACTCCCTGCCACATTTCCACTCTTCATTTTCCCTGGAAAGGCCGTGTGTGGCATTTTTATGTTCCAGTACCGAAACTGGCAGTTTGCAGAAAAGCTGGGCAGGTAAAATTGAACTTGGTGTCAACAAGTAATGGAGCACTGCGTTCACTGGACATGAAAGTAAATAACTTATTAAAATATTACCTCTTTTAATGGAAACAGAGTGGCTACAGAAATTCCAGTGGGCTTGTTTTGCGAGAGCTGATTATTTTTATTTGGGTGGAGGGACAGTGTTTCTGGTAGAGCATAATGCTCGTTATACTCTTAAGAAAAAGCGCTTGGTGTGTCATCTTCACTATTCAGTTCACTGATCCTTACTCTGATACTGTCCACCAGCCCAAGGACATTGTCCTCCAAATTAGAGACTTCTGTTTTAAGTTCCCAAGATGTGGAGAGGAATTGGTTCCTTTCTACCTGTAAGAGCTATTATTTTTATAAACATACTTTATTTTTTATATATTTTTTTTAATGAGGTGGGAAGCTGAAGCTTATGTAGGAGTGACCTCAGTTAGGAGCATGCTCTTTAGCCAAAAAAACATGAGAAAAGGTCACTGATGCCAGACGACGGAGAAAGTGTGTGTGTTGACTTCAAGAAATCTTCAGCTTAGCCCCAGTTGTCATCACAATTCCTAGTTCTGTATTAATTTTCTTACAAGCTACATGCTGAAGTTGCCTGTCAAGCTATTAAAAAACTTGAGTTACTAGTGCTGTTCTCTGGACAGGTCGTGAAAGAGTTTGAGATGGTTGCCAGTATGAATCTTGCTGTGTAAGATCTGGGATATGAATTCCAAAGGCAAAGGAGAATGCTGGTCAGAAATAACAGATGATGAAATTAAAACCAGCAGGCAGCCTTTCAAACCTTTGCTGTATAGACCACCGCTAATGAAAAATTCAGAGGCAGATTTGGCTTGATGACAGCACTGGAGCTTCCTTCTCCCTGGTAATAACTGAGCCAAAACATTTAATTCTGTGTGTAAAACTGCTACTGATTGAAATAGAATTTGTTTAAAGAAAATTGGAATATGTTACTCTTGAAGAAATCCACTAGCTAAACAGGAATCACTAAAAGTAGTGTGTGTTACCAAAAGAAAAAAGCCATGGGTGACTAGCAAGGGGGGAATAATTTTTCAAGGTAGTTTACCACTTTCTTTTTTGTTTCCGGTCTCCAGCAGTTGCAGACCATACTGGTCTGCGCCTTACACTTGCCCACCTTGGCTAAGGAGCCCGTGATGGCAACTCTTGCTCTCATGAATGCTAACCCCAGTGAGTGTTTAATCATGCCTCAAACAGATTGGCTTTTCGGAGGAAAAACAGTGTTCCTGTTCTGGTATCGCTGTCCAGCTTAATGTAAAGAGTGATGGAAACACCGTGCCTGAGACACATCCATCTGCTTCCCTCCGGACCATTTTCTTTCTGGCTTTTCCTGCAGTCGTGAGTTATCAGCCCAGAACACTTGCCCATGATGGGAACTTACCGTTGCCGTTCCGTAAGTGCTGGCATCTCTACTTCAGCTGAAAGCATGTTTCAGCTCCTGGTTTTGAGCCGAATTGAAATGGGAAAGAAAGCATTAAGGGGTGAGTTTAAGGGTCTCATCCAATTTAAAAAGCTTGAATCAGTGTGTCAATGTAAAAATGTCAGTGGATACAGAGTCAGTGTATTCCTAGGGACCTGGCACAGGACTTGCCTGCATCCGCTGTTTGTAGGTTTATCCCTCACTTGAATATTAAGTGACCTTTGTCAGGCAGTGGTGAGGAGGCAGCGTGGTGCTGAGACCTTGCCCTTGTGTTCAAGACAGTGGAGAAAAGCTTTGGGATCTGTTCCAACTTGCAGAAACATTCTTCACGAGGAGCCAGGCAGGTGGGCAAAGCACTGGAAGCAGTTGGTGCCATTGCTGTCTCTGCTGATTAACCAGAATGGTCCTTGTGAAGCCCGGCAGAAGCGCAGGCTCTGGCTCCTCTCCCAGCTCATCCCCGCAGCTGCGGAACGTGGGTGCTCGTGCTGCCGTTCAGTTTGTCTGCACTCCACCAAGGGCAAGCTGAAGTGTAACGAACGCTCTAATGAGCTTGCTCCAATTGCACTGTGCTAAACTCAGCCTTAACACCTAGCTGCAGTTAATTAAAAGCCCAAGTTGCTGAGGTTTTATTAGTACAGTGTGTTTGCCAGGAGATGAAACGATGGGAGAAAGGCGGATGAGTTGTGTAAATTGTCAGGGGTAGGTGATTACCTGAAGGCAGCGAACAGCCCCGTTTGGAGATCACTCGCCTCCCCAGGTGAGCCAGGGGAGAGTCAAAACAGCGAACAAAAGAGTTTTTATCATTATCAGGCTGCTGAGACAGCCTGTCCCCTGCATTTCTTAAAGCTTTTAAGAAGAAAAATCTCTGAGCAGATATGTGCACATGATTCATTTGGCAAAAGCACTCAGCCAACTTCCCAGAGGGGAACTAAAATAATTTCCACATACGAGTAAAGCAAATAGCCTGTGTCTTGTTCATCCTACCAAGTATTATTGACTAGTGCTGAGTAAGAGATCTTTGCACAGCGCTGATGAAAAGGTTGGCAACTCATTCCACTTGGTCTGGATTATTGCAGCAATGGTTGTAGAATATTGAATTGCAAGGCTGTTAGTAATCTTCACAGGTTGTTCAACCTGAGCCACTATGCCTAAACTAAAATGTTTAAAAACTGCAGTTCATGCTCTTAAATACATGTACCCTGTAAGAACCAGAGACAATTTCAGTATCTGTTAGATTCTTCCTGTTAATGTGTAGGGCAGATATTACCTCCTAAGATCCAGCTGAAATGTTCCCACTGCGGTGGTATTTGAGACTAGTTATATTTGGCTCATCTTTGTTCCATATCCAGTTTTACAACTACCAGATGACACTCTAATGAAACATCAAAGAAACCATCAACAGTTGCACTTAAGTGCTCTCTGAAAGATGTACCCAGTGAGTTACAGAGCTCCCGCTCTCCATACAAAGGAATTTCAACCATAGGGCAAAAGAGGCTTTTGGCTTTTAGACACGTCAGCAGCAGTGCAGGACAAATCCTAACTTTCATTTAAAACAAAACCCCAAAACAACAACAAAAAGCTGTTTATCAGTGGGTTTTCTTTCAAGATAATTTCCTAAACTATCTTGAACCCCTTTCTTCTTTACTTTTTAGTAAATTTGGGAAATTAGATGAAGAAACAGTCTTGCTGAATAAAATCCAAAATCACTTCTAAAAGCTTTTTCAGAAAGGGGAATGGAAGTGCTTTGGAGGCTACTGAGCATTTAAATATTAGCAATACATTTCTGGATTTGCAAGAGAAGCTAGCTGGATGGAATGGACACGTTTTCATCCACAGCTGGGATGAAACCTGAAGTCACCATTCATGCAGTGTTGCTTCTTGTTCAGTCATGACAAAATTAATCCAATCTGGATGCTGAATCTAGATCTATAAATATATTTATTATAATATAACAAGAACTTAACAGTAAACATAAACTATATACAATAGCATTACAGATAACCCTGTTTTTACTATTATTCACAGAAATAGCCAGTTTTGTTCCAGTGTGAGAAATGAAGAAATAAGCTAAATTGGAAATGTTGAATGTGTTTAGGTCTTGTTGACAGGTAGCACCTCCTTTGGAGGCAGACATACAACCAACACTAAAATTAGTCCTGCCCCAGGCAGTTAGAAACTTGTGCTCCAATCTTTAGGTTCACACTTGCACCCTGTTTGACATAAATACTTTAAATGACATACTAGTATATAATTTTGTTGTGCTTATTATTATTTTTTTTTCTTTAAAGAATAAATAAAACAACTGCATAACAAAGGCTGGAACCTCACTGTTCAAATGAGAGACTTGAGTCACCCTATAGCTCGACTCGGCTGACTTGAGCACTTTTTCTTTAAATACTGCAAGATACAAATTTCTTTTTTTTTTTTTTTAATTTTATAAATGATTATTAATAAAATAAGATGCTTAGCTAACCATCTGCACTGATTTCCCCAAAGCTGTAGGCAGACCTCCCTCTATATAAAAAGGCTACTGTGTTTGCTATGAAATTCAACTAGATATTGACTGTAAGATCTCACCCACGCCCTGTCTGGGACCCTCCTTCTTGAATTACCAGCATGGCATTTGGGATCTGAGTCTGCAAAGGCAAGTATGGCAATTTTTTTCCCTCTACTTGGAAAGAAATCAGACAATCCTTAGCTCAGGGTTACTTCCTATCAGTGAGTTTTAAGATTCTTTCCCCTGCCCCCTCTATGTTACCCGGTCCATCTCCCATTTGTTCCTTTTATGTATAAATTTATAAAGAATTTCCACATCACAATGCTCTCTGGATAGACAATATTTTAATATATATATATAAAAATATAACCCCTGTGCTGTGCATATACTTACAACTCTACATAGTAATCATTTTAAGTCTCTTATACTGGGCTTAAGTCTATGCACTTTTCTACCATGGGATTTAAACTCGTGTGTTCAGAATCTGTAAATAAGAGAAGCAGAAGGTTTCCACACCTATGGGGAAACTTGAAAAATAGAATAAAATAAAAAAAAAACAACTTCTCAGACTTTACATAAAAGATAGTGGCGTATATCCCAACGTAAGGAATTTTGGTTGAGAGCCAAAACTGAGGGCGTAGCCGCAACAGGAGGCGTCTTCTCCATCTGATGAACACGTGGAAATCCCACACAACGCTGTGTGTTCTCATGTGATCCCAGTCAGAAGTGAAGAGCGGGTTTATCAGGAGAACGCCTCTGGAATCGAAACCGTTTTCATTTTGCATTCCAGGAACTGAGCACTGCAGAAACTGGGAGGAAAAGGTTTGGAAGCTCCCCCCCCCACAACCCCAACCTGTGACATGGCCACTCATACCCACACAAGTGTCACCAGGAGCAGGAGCAGAAACTCATCCAGCCCAACAGACCTTTTCTTTTTTTTTTCCATCATTTTACATGGAATTTATTATCAATGGCTATTCTTCTTCTTCCCAGTCCTCACCTTGCCCCCCTTCTGGGCTCTGCTCTAGAGAACTGAAAGATTCATTTGATCTGATGGAAGACTGACATCAACGTGAGCCATCTGTCACACAAGATTTCTCTCAGTTATTGGTATTGAAAAGCATGTATTTGTTAAAAACAAATGTAGGAATCAAAGTGGTAAGGACACTTTGACCTCGCAAATAGATTGACGCCTAAAGTGTAATAATAAAACTAATCTGCATGGTTATTTTAAGAATCAAGCTTGAGCTCTAAAGTAAAATGCAGATTTTTCTTTTTTTTGTTTTTTTAACTCTCTTCCCCAGCTTAAAAAATATGTGAAATTCTATTGCACCTGGGTTGACCAAAAGCTGACGTCCAGAACAAGTGCCACTATAACATCTAGTGACACCCTTGTATTATTAAGTTACAATATCTTACATAGCACGGAGCTCTCTGCTCCTTGTTCACCAAAAGGTGAGGATGATTTTTTCTACATTCAATGTAGACACTATTGAAGACTTTAGAGCAGTATGTTCACTGTCTGGCTTTGCTGCTTTTGTTTCTTAAGTAGTAGTACTCTTCTTGCCTGCTTTCAACAGGTACAAACAGTTTTCCATCCAACTCCTGGGTAACATCAGCCGCTCTGAATGTACTTCTTGATTACTACACAGCCGTGTCGAAAAACAGGGCAGGGCATATTTGGTAGAAGTGTCCACGTATTTGTTTTAGGGTCGTAGGCTTCCATGTTTCCCAGAGCAGGTCCTTCACTGCTAACGATCCCACCAGTGGCATAAATTTTTCCATCCAGAACCACAGCACTGTATTTTTTTAAGAAAAGAAAGTTTTAGTTAGTGTTCTTAGCCAGCAATTTTCTTTTTAGGCTTAAAACAAACCCAGTCTTTTGTGACAAGGGGTAAACAATGAATTCTCCTTTTATCTATATAAAGCTGTGTGGGCATTTCTCTTCCCTCTCTCTTTCTCCCCCCCAAATTAATCCTTTTTGTGTTCCTGCCAGGTAGGTAAATGTTGTCTCTAATTTAAACAACAGAAATCAGTCCAAGCAATCCAAGCGATCCAGCATCCCTGCCACCTCAGCTGCAATAAACCTTTGCTTCAAGTTACTCCTCTAGTCATCAATGAATGATGCAAAGGAGGAAAAAACACCTCCAAAACGTGCTCTGTTGCTTCAGCCTTCCAGGGTCATGCTCTGGCACAGGAGCCTGGAGGTTCTGCTGACTTGTCCTCCTTGTACACCCAGGAGGGTGGTATCCAGGGGAAAGCCAACCTGGGGCACGTGAATCTGATGGTTGCGGATGTGCAGCTCAGGGATTGGCAGGGGAACTATATATTGGCATCTAAAGAAGACAAAAAAACCCTTACTGCCTTTTTAAAATGAAAGTGTTCGACTTCAGACATCTCTTGCAAATCAAGGCCAATGAGGCTGGGCTAATCCCATGGTCTGTAGGCTCCTGATAGTAGGGAAGGTGCGTAGATGTGGAGGGTGTTTGAAAGAAAAACTGCCCTTGGGCCTCTTTGTTCTCCTTCCACTTAACCCCTCGGCCTCTCCAGCAATCGTGCACAGGGCATGACACTCCCTTTGGGCTAATGGAGATGAACAACGAGGGGCTGGGCTCATGTGTGTGTATTTGTAAAGAGCAGAAGGATGACAGAGGCAGCTGGGTGGAAAAAGGGCTGCCATGTTCTCCATGCTGCCTTCCCGCTGTGTGGGGGGAACCCAAAAGTGGGGGCAGCTCTGCTTTTCATCTGCTGGGAAGCTTGAGTTTGTCCCTCAACATTTAAAGATGTTGTTAAGCTGATGGTGTGGGCAGTGGCTTTTCTGGTGGTTAGGGTCTATTTTCTGGTGGTTGGGTCCCTTCCAAGTGCAGCCAGTGGACAGTTGTGTTAGGAAGGAAAATGGAGACTTGGAGAGTGTGTACACACCAGAGGACAACAGGGAGAAAAAGAGGGAGGGGAAGATGAGAAATAATTGCGGCCAAGAAGGTGGCCTAAATCTAAGACGCTGGAGAAGGGAAGTAAACCTGTAGGTTTGGTAAAAGCAAAGTCATTTCTTCTGGATAATTTTGGAGCAGTGGAAAGAAGAAGGATAAAAAGTGACAGAGGCAAAAGACAGAGAGCACTGGAAGACCCAGGATGAACTGAGACGAAAATGGCACTGACAAAGCCATGTATTTCTGAAGAACACAAAACTCTGATGTCCTTGTGGAGAAGTAGAGCCTGAGGTTAAAAATAAACCCACAATGACAACAGTGAGGACTTAAATAAGCCTAGTCCCTGGGTACTGCCAGGAAATAGGAAATAATGAGAATCTTGTCAAAATAACTGTTAATCTGAAAGGAGGAGGAAGGAGAGAGAGGCTTGAAACACTTGATTAGAGCCTATCCACAAATCAGCAGGGCTGGATGATACATAGCCCAGGGTCCTGGGGGAGCTTGCTAATGAACTTACTGAACCACTGGTAATTATTTTTGAAACGTCAGGGAGAAATGGGGAACAATGAGGACCTGAGTAAAGGAAGTGTCATTCTGAAAGACACCCCTGAAAGACAATGAGCCCATCTCTGGAGGAGCTGGAGCTAGTGATGGAGAGGCACTGCCCAGCAGGGTCTCCTGCCAAGGTTGAGGTCCCAATGGCCAGGAAGGAGCAGAGGTGGCAGGACCAGACAACCCAGTAAATCAGACAAATGTGCAAATTAAACCATGATTTAGGACTTAAGATATTTGTTGGGGGATGAGAAGCCCATCTCTGCACTGGAACAAGCTACTATTTAAAAGACAGGCTGGGAATTACAGCTTGCAAAATACGACACGAGGTGAAGGGGAGGATGGTCCCACCCCATGCTGAAACAGTCCCGATGTGATGGAAGGGTTGCTGAAACCAGCAGTGAGAGTTTAGAAATGAGGCCATGGGGTAATGGTTGCTGTTTGCTTTTCACTTTGGTTTTTTTAATAGTGAAGCTGAAGGAGATGGAAGCTTACTTGAATTGGGATATGGTTTGGGATGTGCTGGGCAGAAATGGGTCCAGCATCAAAAAATACCCCATAACAAAACATGACCCCCAAAAAAGCAAATGTATTAATTCAGCAACTTCATTAGGTGAAGTGGGGAAAAAACCAAAGAACTCCCAAAAAAGAAGAAAAGATCCTCAAGAAAGATCTGACTGCAGAATTATCCATAATGGGTAATTGTAAGAAATGACAGTGTGGCATGTGGAGCCTGGGGCCTGTTCCATCAGTGTTGATGATCAAGATCCAGTGCTCACGAGTGGTCTCAGCTAAGTTCTAAGTTACTAATGCAGATAATGCCGGTGTAGATGACAGCACCTCAGGTCAGCATAGGAGAGGACTCTAGTGGCTGTTACCACTTACAGACGGGGCCTGTCTAATACTTATTGCTCATTACCAGAGGAGACTGCCCTCATGGAGCATTTGATCTGGAGGGGGAGAAGGGGGTGGACAGAGGTAGGACCCTGTGTGGAGACCTTTCCATCTACGCTGTAGGTGACCCTGGGAACAGGAGCCAAGCAACCACCAGCCCTTCCTTGCTGACTGTGTGCTGCAGAGCTGAAGTCTGGCCTTGAGTGCCCAGTATCCCCACTGGCACTTAGTGTTTGGTCTCTAACAGGGACATGGGTGCTTTACAAATACCTTGGCTGCCCACACTTCTTCTAGTAAAGTCTTTCCTGTTGCACATATAGTAGCAGCTACTCTAAGCCAGCGCTGCTGCCACCATAGAGCAGCTGACTAGCCAAGCACACCTTCCTGAAGGGATCTGAGTCCAGGTTCCTCCCCAGCCCATGCTCTGGTTGAGGAGTTACAGTGGGTGGGCAAACATTCCTCTTGTTCTCCAGCACCTGGGCTACTGCACTGAAAGAAATTCTGCCCAGCGGCTGGGACACGCAGCTCCATCCTGCAGCTTCCCATCATGGTGCTGATGTGTTGGGGAAGACATGGATGCTGAATTCCACCCTCTGAAAGACTGTCTGAATTTGGAATGGTGATTAGAGTAGCTTCTGCCCCCTCCATGTGCAATTCTCGTAGATAAGATTGGCACAACGCTCAGCTTGGGAGTCACTCCTGAGCTTCAGAGAAACTGTGAGCTACTCCTGCTACCACCAAATAGGCAGCTCTAGTAGGCAGCGAGTACTTACGTGTGCAGGGGACTTTGGAGCTACTCAGGCATCTCCGGGGCTAAAGTGACAGGTGGGTACTTCTGATCAATTAGGAATTGAGTCCTACATTGCTGCTACTTTGCAGTATGAGGACAATCACTGCTAATTTCTGGGACCTTACGGAATAGGAAACTTAAGTGGTCGCTAAAACCTTGAGGAAAGTGAGTGGAAAGGAGTATGCTCATTGCTCCCACTTCATTACCGTGACAATATTTCTTTTCTCCCCTCCCTTCCATCCCATCAGCTGTAAAAACATCATTACCAAGGCTGACGTAGAAAGAAAGAAATAATTGCAATAATTAGGATGCGAGTTTATTGCTCGGTGCCATTAATCCCGAGAGATAAAATGATTACAGGCTGTCAGAGCCAGGGAAGGAAGGAAGCTCCGCGCCGCAGAGCCTTGCTGGGGGGACACAAACCCTCTGGTAGCTTCAGGGGCACTGACCTCCCCAGCTAAGGAGCAGCTGGACCCTTGTCTTTCTGGCAGCACGCCCAGGGTGAAGGTAGTTGGCATCAAAATGGAGGTGACTTCACCCACTCCTTCCAAGAAAATGCATTTCAGCATTTTGCAAATTATTACCCAGCAGGCTAATGACCCTTCTTTCTACTCCTCGGGTAATTACTGAGGTTTCCTAGAGAGGTTTCACCTGTAGCCCTGCTGCCCATTTCCCTGAGGTGGCAGGGTGTCCTTCATTGGCCAAACATGAGCAGTGTCAGAGGATCACACTGTGACTGTCCCCTGACACTGCCACCACTACTCCAGACCATATGCCGACCTCCATGAAGCTATGAATCACAGTGCTAAGAAAATCCCAACGAGGCTGAGGTGCTCCAAGGGCTGGTGGAGGCCTCGCTGTCCATGGTTGGGGTGCTTGTGTAATCTGAACACCCTTTAAATCTCTTCTCTGCCCATCCACCCTGCTGTCTTTCCACAGTGTGACCAAACAGGTGGCAGAGAAGATCCCTCTCTGACAGCTGACCATTAAAGGACTTGATGGACAAAGCCAATCATTGAATCATAAAATCATAGAACAGCCCAGGTTGGAAGAACCTTGAAAGATCATCTGGTACAACCTTTCATGGGAAAGGGAGCCTTCATGAGATTACCTAGCACCCTGTCCAAGTACATCTTGAAAACCTCCAGCAATGGGGACTCCACCACAGTCCTGGGCAGGTTGTTCCAGTGGATGATTGTTCTCGCTGTAAAAAATTCTTATATTGAGATGAAATCTCTCCTGGCAACACTTGTACCTGTTGCCCCTTGTCTTCTCTGTGTGGCATCTTGTGAAGACAGAGCTTCTGTCCTCCTTGTAGCTGCCATTTAAGTGATGGAGTACTGTGTGAGGTCCCCTTGAGCCTTCTCTTCTCCAGGGAGAAGAGACCTAACTCCTTCAGTCTTTAGAATCATAGACTCATAGAATGGTTTGGGTTGGAAGGGACCTTAAAGATCCTCCAGTTCCAACCCCCCTGCCATCAGCAGGGACACCTTCCACTAGATGAGGTTGCTCAAAGCCTCATCCAACCTGGCCTTGAACACGTCAAGGGAGGGAGCAAGGCTGTCCATAAGGCAGGTTCTCTAGTCCTTAGTTTATCTTTGTGGCACTTCTTTGGACCCTCTCCAGTCTGTCC